GTAGTTTGATGCTGATTGTATCCCAAAACCCATGGGTTAGCAAGTGTCTCTTCACTTGCTCTATTTTTAAACACTTTTAAAATGTACCAGGTATGTATTTAGTTTCTTTCACTTACTTCAGTGTGAACTCCAGTCATACAGGTGGAACCTCCCTGGTCTGGCACCCTCAGAACCTGACTGGTCCTGAATCAGGGGAAGTCAATCCTTGATGCTGATTGTATCCCAAAACCCATGGGTTAGCAAGTGTCTCTTCACTTGCTCTATTTTTAAACACTTTTAAAATGTACCAGGTATGTATTTAGTTTCTTTCACTTACTTCAGTGTGAACTCCAGTCATACAGGTGGAACCTCCCTGGTCTGGCACCCTCAGAACCTGACTGGTCCTGAATCAGGGGAAGTCAATCCACCAGGGACTACCCTTTTCCTCCTTGGCTGCCCTGCTGCCACTCGGGGCTCTGCTCTCCTCATGGGGAGGTGGGAACTCCGCTTTTCCCCCATGGCTCTGCTGTCACCCAGGGGCCTGCTTTAGCTCCATGGCTTTTGTACCATTGGGGGGGGGCTCTGCATTCCCCCAGTGGTTTCTGCTGTTGCCTGAGGCTCCCCGCTGCCCCCCAGGGACTCTTCCTGGTGGTCCAGCTGCTGCCTGGAGCTCCACACTCTTGCTGGGTGGCTCCGTTGCCAGACAGGACTCTGTTCTCTTGACTCCCTAGGCTGGCAATGCTCCTGGACCCATGGGATCATCCCAATGATGACAGACCAGATTGCTGGACTAGGGAAATCCGGATTAGAGTTTCAATTTGTATTAATTGGCTTGTTTTCATGTTAGCTTGTATTCTATTTCTTGAAATACTATTTTGTCCCTTTATAGAGTAGGGGTTCTCAACATGCAGGTTGTGATTCACACAGGGCTTACCAACAGTTACTTGTGGGATTACGAGCTGGCTCCTGTTCTTTTTAGTCCTGTGAAGCAGATTTTCTTAGCCAATCTTTCTTGGTCATGGAAAGGACCCTTCTGAATTTCTGAAAGAAACTTTCTCTTTAAAAATGGCATGGCACTTGGCATGATTCTGAAATTCTTACAGGGGGGAAACAGTTGTAAGTGATAAGAATAAGAAAATCCTATTGAATGAGATTTCTTAGATTACAGGGGGGAAAAACATTGGATCTCTGCACATCTGAGATACAGGAATTAGAATTTGTGTAGTGGAAGAACACTGCCTCCTCATGCCGTTTTGCTGAATTGGGTCATTAGCCCTTTCTATATAGACTATCAGAATTGTTGCTGACTACATCATTGCTTCCTCAGTTTCATAGAATCTGGGGTTTTATGTGAGGCCCATAAGACATTTTATTTACTATTGTCCTATGTGCAAGGTTGCCATATTCTGCTGTTTTCCATCTGTGTAGTTTTTTCCTACTGGTATTGTTAAAGTGACACAAATAGGGCACGTGAAGTCCAGGGCATGCTGATTACACGCAACATTGATTGTAAAAGCCATGTACTCCCTCTGCATCCAGTCAAAGCACTGCTGCAGTTCATTCAGCACACCCCACAAATTCTACATATGCAAGTGCAGTTACAACAGTTTTGCTATCCTGGGAGACCATCTTGGTTAGTACAACTTTGCAGCCCACTGAGATGGAGAGCCCATTCACTAGCCTGAGTTGCCCATTGCTGATCTGGAGCAAAATACACCTGCATTCTTCCCCCTCAAAGTACTAAGTCACTGGAATGTCAACAATTCATAGTCTGCCTTTGCATTTTATACTACTGCTTAGGTTGCAGAAGAAACCAGCAGTGAAGAGGCAAACCCCCCACATTGATGGCCAAAAGAAACCTCAAGAGTTTTTGGTCTTTTGTATATGTACTGTGCTCAAATGCCATCGTGATGGGCACAATGTAGGAACTTAAAAATAGTTTACATGACTTACTTTTTATACCCAGATTAAATTTTAAAAGAATTAACTTTTTAATAGCAGTAAACCTGGCGGTTCTGAGGCCATGAATGTTGGCAGCTGTTTCCAGGCAAAGTCATGAAGGAAAGTTACCCTGAATTAAATTTTCATTCTAAAATTGTCTCTCTTATAGCTATACATTTCCAGTTAAGCTTTCTGAGCCATATGAATATGGAACATAGTTTTTGTATATTAGCTACTATTTTTGCTGAATACAAGAGAATTGGGTTTAAGTGCCATAGTTTTCATAGCTTTGCATTGCATGAGGCTACAGACAGAGGAAAATATGAAAAAAAATCACTTATAGAGACTTCAAAAATTCTGTTCTTCGTGCTCTGAAATGCATAGGTTCTACTGTTAATTCATTTTCATATACAAAGTGGATGTTCTTGCATAGTTGGAAAATGCCAGTAATTTGACATGTGCAAAAGACCCAAGGAAGCAGATGGATCTGTCTTAGGGTACGTCTAGACTACATGCCTCTGGCGCCAGAGGCATGTAGATTAGGCTACCCAACACAGTAAAATGAAGCGGCGATTTAAATAATCGCCGCTTCATTTAAATTTACATGGCTGCCACGCTGAGCCGACAAACAGCTGATCAGCTGTTTGTCGGCTCAGCGTGGCAGCCATGTAAATTTAAATGAAGCGGCGATTATTTAAATCGCCGCTTCATTTTACTGTGTTGGGTAGCCTAATCTACATGCCTCTGGCGACAGAAGCATGTAGTCTAGACGTACCCTTAGATATACTGTACTAAAACTAACTTTAGATTCTGAGAAAACAGTTGTCTACATGTGAAATAATGTTTTCTTATGAGAAGTTTTGTTGTTGTTAATATCTGATTCTCTTTAAGTTCCCTCTCTGAAATATTAGGCTTTTCTTACCCAAGTCTTTGCACTACAGTTCAACTTAGTTCTTGTGGCATCATCTAGTCAGGCAGATGTTCTACTGCTTTCTCACCATTTGATTTATTTATAGTTTCTTTTTTACCGATCTCAAACTCTTGATTCTGGCTTGCAATAGCTTTCTCACATCAATCCTCTTTTCATTGTATGTTAAATACTATGATAAAAATGTATTAGAGAATTAAGTTCTCTAGTGGAGTGTAGATATTGTTAATTTCTTAGATTGTGCCCAGGGCCTTTCAAACTGCAGAACCACCTATTCAGAGGAAATAGGCTGTTATGGAAACACTCTTAAAACTAGCTGAATGTTGCAGAACCAGTGATAATAGAGCTCCAGCATATAAGCAGTTGTTTGTATTGCACAGCTCCAGATTTCATCAGGTTTACCTATGGAAAAATCCTGTTATCGAGAAATGAGAAGTAATGTCTCTGGGTCCATTTCAGATGAATGATCTTCAGTGTGTTGGGGGGTGAGTGGGATTCATATGGAGAGATTTGAGAAACATCCTGAGCATGTTCGTTCGAGGCCTCTTATTTTAATCTGAAGTAGTTGATGCTATTGGTAGGAGGTGTGCATGTATACCTCCAGATGTGATAAATCTGACTGCGCTGTAGGAAAGACAGAGAGGTTTAATTCTTGAAGCACTTAAAGGCCACTAAGGTGGGTAGCAATTTGAGGCCAAATTCAGCTTTAGGATGAAGGTGTGCATGTCCCATTGGCATCATGGGACCTATGTGCATGTAACTCTTCTGACGACCAAATTTGGTCTGCCATCTCTTTGCAGCTCTCTGTAGACCAGTAGCCATGGAGGCTATTGCCAGCCAAATAGTCCCTTATATTGACTAACTTGATCTGTAGCAATTGATCAACTTTTTATACTTGTCATTGTCCTTTCAGTGCTCAATGTTAAATAATGAATTTAATAGATTTCAAATGATTTAATTACCTTTTTTCTTGAGTCCCAAAATAGTTGCTTCGCTTCATTCAAGTTTACACAAAGAAACTATAGTTTTCTGTATTTTTCTACACTTGAATAATTTCTGCTTTTTTTTTTCATTGAAGAATTGCAGGAATATAAAGATTAAGGATGTTAAGTAATGGTTAATTGACTAGTCGAGTAGCTAACTCCGGGCTCTGCTGCGTTGCCGCTTCGAAATGCCACATGGAGCTGTGGTCAGCTGGGGACTCCCCAGCTGACCATAGGTTCCATGCGGCATTTCCTCAGAACCTGGGGGCTGCTGGAGCCCGGGATCAGCTGGGGAGTCCCCAGCTGACCCTGGGCTCTGCACAGCTGATCCTGGGATCAGCTGTGCGGTACCCCCGTTTTTCCCCCCCTTTGCTGCCTCTATCTGATAGAGGCAGCAAGGGGGGGAATCGATTAGTCAACTGACTAGCCGATAAGCATTTGCTTATCGGATAGTTGACTAGTCCTTAACATCCCTAATAAAGATATCACAAATGTTCCCATTCTTGCTATTTTTCTGATATTGAAAAGTTTATAGGTCTATTACAAGAATTGAACAATTGAACTGGCTCAGACAATTCTACAAAGTCTTCATTGGCAGATGGTCTCTAGGCCCCATCAGCACTAAAATACTGTCTTACATGCCATGCTGGAGTACGAGCAATAACACATATGGCTCATGCTAATCTGTTCAGTGATGACAGCTGAAACCCTCTGAGATATCAGGATGTATCCTTTTCTTCCACACACTAACTTGGGAGCGCAGTCAAAATGACTGCATCGCATTCCAACCTTGCTTGAACCAGCCCTGCAGAATCAGATGGGCAGCAGAGTGGTAGATCACCAAACATAGTTTTCTTAATAAAAAATCATGTTTTTTATAAACAAGCAAAAATAACCCCCACAGTTTTGTAGGCTCAGTGCATGTAGTGGACTGAGACATCATTCTGTGTCTCAGTGACATTTCTCTTTCTGAAAAGAAGATAAAAAGTATTAAAATACACATTTAGTCCTCAAAAATGTGGATCTGACAGCAGCTTTCTAAAATCCTTCCACAATCTCAGTAATATAGAAGCCTTTCTACTAGCAGGCACTCTTTGATGTAGTGAGTGAGGGTATGTCTGCAGTGCATTTAAAAATCTGCAGCTAGTCTCTGCCAGCCAGTTAGAGTTAAGGGGATGTTTCATTGCAGTGTAGATGCTGTGGCTCAGGCTGGAGCATGAGCTTTAGGACCCTGCAAGGTCCTCTCGGTCCCAAAGCTCAGGACAAACTGGAATGTCTACACTATAATTAAACAGCTCATTAGCCCAAGCTCCACCAACTTGAATCAGCCGGCACATGCCAGTTTCAGGTGTCAAACTGAAGTGTAGATGTACAAAAATCTAAAAACTGAGAGTATCTACTGCTGGTCTACATGACTGGAAATATTTGACTAACATTTTTGACATCTTACCTCTGTCTGGCCTTAGTTTATAGTTAAATTGAAATAACAAATGTGTTGCCTTCTTGTAGTACTTATTTGGAAAATGTGGCATGTTCTTGTGGGCTTTTGCCATTCAATACTGAACACTTGTATGTTTTAATCCAGAGGTTCTCAACCTTTTTTGGACCAGGATCCATTTTGTAAATGTTGATGGCAAATGCTGATCCAGTCACTAGCTTAAGTTGAACATGCAAGTATTTTGGCCTCAAAATACTTATTACTCATTACCTGTAAATAACAATAATTAATAACAAGTCAAAATCACTGCCACTAGCAGTGCAGAAGCAAAGATGGCAATACTTTACTATGCCATTTGCCAGCAGCTGCTGTTTTCCATCTGCCCAGCTCTGAATGCAGCAAGTTTGTGACTCTTTCATGCATTCTTGCAACCCACTTTTGGGTTACAACACATGGGATGAAAAACACTTTTTTAGGCTATCCCGAACACAACCCTGCCTTATTAGTTATTTATGCCCTAATACATTTGTTAGTCTTTAAAGTGCCACTGGACTCCTTGTTATAATTATTTAATGTTAACATATAAACAAGAGCAGTATTAGAATCCTGTAGATGCTTTTATGAAACTGTCTGCTTCAATCTCAGCTGTGCTGCTTCTACTAGAACAGTTTAAGGTAAATTGGATCTCTTCAAAATTGCTAGAATGTCAGAAAATGATTGTATGTTGTGATCTAGTATAATTCCCTTCCTTGCCCTTTGAAGATGGCCTTCTGATACTTGATGTTGTGATAACTGTTTGTTTAGTGCTGACAGTATGATCAGTGCTGTCTCATGTATGAAGAACAGAAAAATCCACGCTCCAAAAGTTTACAGTCTGGGAGTGAGAGGACCAAGAAACACCACATCAAATTTCTAAAAACATCTAAGTCCCATTTTCAAAAGTGATTAGGCATGTAGAAATCTGCCATATTGACTTTAATCAAAATTCAAGATCCCTAATCACTTAAGTGCTTAGAAAACTTATACGTACACCTTTGAAGTAAGCAAACAACATATTACAGGTGTATATCTTGCCGTGTAAACTTTGTTCAAATCTGTAATGGTGCATCTTTGTGTGTTTGCCGTAGACCAGTACTGAATAATTACTTGTAATACGGTGGTCATGGCCTGAAAAGTCTTCTAGTATTACTTGAATATGTCTACTGTAATCACTTTACCACTTTCTGATATAACAACTAATATTTTGAATTTGACTACATATTACAAGTATGTTTTTAGAAAAAATGGTCTTAACACTATTGATTTCCCCCATCTTTTCCATAGGTCTGGCTGATGGCAAGCACTGTACTTTTCCATACCTGCCTGGTAAAAACTTTGTGTACAATGCAGCGGAAGATAGATTAGAACTGTGTGTGGATGCTGCTGGGCACTTCCCTATTGGTCCTGATGTTGAAGACTTGGTTAAAGAGGCATTAACTCAAGTACGAGCAGAGGCTACTTCAAGAAGCAGGGAAGCAAGCCCTTCACATGGACTTCTGAAATTAGGTAGCGGTGGTGTAGTAAAAAAGAAGTCTGAGCAACTGCATAATGTAACTGCATTTCAAGGAAAGGGCCATTCACTAGGAACTGCATCTAGTAGCCAACAACTTGATCAAAAAGCCAGAGAAACAATGCTTTTAAGAAAGCATAGCACAGAAACAGACTTCAGTCCCAATCCTGCTAAAATAGAGCCATCTATAATCACATCTGCTCCTGGTAACAGTGAGCTTATCCGCATAGCTCCTGGAGTAGTGACAATGAGAGACAGCAGGCAGCTTGACCCTACTTTGGTTGAGGCACAGCGAAAAAAATTACAGGAAATGGTTTCTTCTATTCAGGCATCAATGGACAGACACCTGCGGGATCAGAATGCAGAACAATCAGCATCAATTGATCTGTCGCAAAGGAAAATAGAAGCAGTAAGTTCATCACCTAAAACTGGGAGCATTCAGGCTAATTTGCCTGAATCTTTTTCTGTAATAGGTGGTACTGAACTTTCAAATACAGAAACAACTGCTGGCAATGTGGTAAATTCAATGGGAGCAACATTCCACACAAGACCTAAAGCACAAAAAGGAAATTCTGTTGAGGAAGCTGAGGAGATGGATAGTCAAGATGCAGAGATTTCTAATACAACCGAGCCAATGGATCACTCTTGATTGGTTAAAAGCTGATAAATATAGAGATTACTGTTCAAATGTAATGTTTGTTGGCTGGGCCACATAAAATGATTAGTCATTAAATCTTGTATGTTTCAAAGATTATATCGTCTTATCCAGTGCATGATAGCAAGTGTGTGGTTGGCAATAGCTTTTAATATTCCATGCTGCTGCCCAGGCTGGCTCTCAGTTAGGTGTAAATTAGCTATTAGAAAAAACACTGAGATGAATATCTGCTGTAGATGTGGGTTATTGAAAGTTTTTTGTAATTTTAATTCCATGAAAGTCTTAAAATTTAAACCCATGTGAGATTCTTTGTGCTAGTTTAAGATTACCAAAAAGGCTAGAACAGAGTAAAAATACAAAATTGACGAAGATAATGTTACCCCAGAAGTCTTGTGTCCAATCAAATTTATAGCGTAAACAGACATTTACATTAATTTCAGAAAAGCAACTGAAATTTAAATTGTATGTTTACTTCATAAAACTATATATACAACACTTTAATTACAAGACACTGACATTCCCTTAGATTTAAACACTTTCATCCATATGCCTGTATGTGCTTGTCAGAAACTTGGAATATAAGTAATTATAAGTAAGCTCTCTTGAACTTCTGCATATTGTCAATTTGAGCAAGATTAGGAAAAAAGGTTATTTAGCGTAAAACAAAGACAAAGCGAATGTGGTGCAGTTATGCATGGCTGTCTGAGCCAACAGTCATTCTACTGCTCTGTGATAGCATGCACTTTTTTGCCATGCAATGTTTTTGATAGTGGGATGGAGGAAAGACAGGTTGGAAAATGTTGTAAGAAGTTACAACAGATTAATAGCAAATTAGTAAAGATTTTGATTATTAGCACTGGTAAATGGTGGCTATAGTTAAGTAATGGCTAATTTTCAGAGCATGAGGAATTAACAGAATTTACTAGAAAAATAGCTCTTGAATGAGTTGCATTGTTCTAAAAAAAAATTTCAGTGATAGTTGAGCTTCTCAAAGCTCATTTTTTAAATTACATGGAAACAGGAGAAATATACTGTTATAAAGGCTACTGTTTCTATTGGCTTCACTTGTTTGTGATGCAAATTTCCCTGCGTCAGTTCTTGATAAAGCTGGTATCTGCCTAAGAACCTTATTCATCAGGTCTACAGTGATAGTTCTTAAGAAGCAGCCGCTGTGCGTGCTCCATTAAGATGGAATGTTTATCTATATTGATATTTCACTTTGCCTTGTATATTCATATTTTAAGTGCATTATTGCTGCTTCCTCTGATTTAAGCAAAAATGGATTAGGCAAAAGATGTTAATACAGCCTCAAAGGAATTTAAAACATTTAGATCTTGAAGTCAGTGTTTGTGTACACATGGGATTTTACTAGTTCCACAGATATTAAGTTTTTATTATAAGCAAGTTTGTATTCAGAAAAATATTTCCTCACTTTTTACATTTATAGTCACATCACCAGAAACAAATTCTAAGCACTGTTATGATAAAATGCCCTAATTAAGGGAGAACATATTTTTTATATGGAAAAGTACCTGAAGCAAGTCACTTAAAATATCCAAATTTACTTAAATTACTAGTAATTAAAACAACATATATTGGCTTTGTCTTTTCATACAGGGAATAAATATTTCATAAGGTAGTGCACTACTAACATGTAAAACATACAAATCATCTTTTCATGAATGAATGCTAATTTAAAAGATACCCGTTGCTAATTTAATCATTTGGTTGAGAATTGCAATCCATGAAGTAAACTTAGTACCAAAATTGATCTCTCTGGTGCATTGATTAACTGACATTGCTTATTCAGTGAGAAATAGGATGCACACACAGCAGCTGGAAGTTTGCTATAACCTCAGACTTTGCATTAGTGTCCAGTGCTGCAGCCTCGTTGTTGGAGGCTAGAGATAGAAATAGAATGTGGAGACAGAAAGCACAAGCCTCTACATGGTGACAGATGTTAGAAAAAGGGACTCGCAATAGTATAGCGTTTCCAGAAATCACTATAAATGAGCAGGGATTGAGAGAGGAGGTACCTGGGTGGTTCTGAATTTTAGTGAGTCTAGCTGATATAGGAATTTCTTAAACACACACACTAAAATCTCTTCAGTGAAAAGGAGAGAGAAACCTTCCCCATAAGTATGTATAGGGTGTTGGGAGAGTCTGAAGTATTTCCATGCATTTTTAAATTTATTACACCTCCCCTTCTTCCTTGGTTCTGCTTAGAGGTATGGTGTGTATCTGTCAGCTACATGTTGCGTTTTCAGGGGGACTGCATAGATATGTATGTGTGCACATTTTATTGCTTGAAGAGGAAGATTCAGAGCAGTTTTAACTTGTATTTTTTTTTGTGGTTTATTCTGTTAAATCTTTCCACACACCTTTCCTTTATGAACAGAATTTAAAAAGATGCAGCTATTCATTCTTTGTATTTTGGCCCACAATTAGTGTCATATGCCTGGGACCTATCACAAATCATGTCTCTCAGAACCTTTTACTTTGTGAAATAAAAAAAAATAGGAAGGAGGTATAGTTAAATGTTCATAACGACAGGATGCATGAGAACTGGAATTGAAGCTTGTTTTTTTAATTTCATGTGAGCACTCCTATTTTCATGGAAACTTGCAATTAATGTGTGTATTTCTTTGCAGTTTTCCTTGAGTTAACTTTCTGATGCACGTAAACATCAGTGTTTTAGTGATATGACCCTACAACATAACCAAAGTGAAGTCAGATTTCATTTGCACCTGAGGGAGGTGTATAGCTGTATGAAAGAAATTCAAGGGTACTTTTAAGTTTGGGCAAATGTTGCATTTGAACTCTAGTGGACATATCAGAAGCAAATATAGTATACTTGTCTTTCTACCACTTGTGTGCTTGGCATATTTCCCAAAAGAGGGTCAGGAAAAAGGTGTGTGTGGGGGGGAGAGAGGGATATGTTGGTGGGAGGAGAGCTTTAGTAAAGTAATAAGTGGTTAATAAAACTGTGTGAGCAGGTTTATCTAAAAAAGTGCAAAGATTAGTCAGTATAGTTTATCATCAGGCCTACTAATACTTGCTACAGAGTCACCAGTTTGAAATTCAGTAGTAGTTCCCACTGTTTGGGGCAGCTGTACCAGTTTCTAACCCTGCCAACATTTGCTTGGTGTGCCCGACAAACGAGACTAAGTTTTGGAGTTTTTCAAGCTCCATTGCAGGTTAGTGCATGTGATTTGGACAAATCAAGTAGCTACTGTCGGTATGCCAGAGCCCAACACAAAGACTTGCTAACATAGGGATTGGAATCCAGACTATTGGGCAAATGCGTTTGAATCAATATCAGTGGATACTGGATACCACTGGAGTACAGCATGTAGTTAGCTTTCCAGCCAAATTACAGATTTTAACAGTATTGTTATAAAGGTTGGTGATAAATAAGTACTCACTAATGTTTTATATTTCTCTGGGAATTAATATTTGAATTTCATTGTGTGAGTGAAGTAGAGGTTGACGTTCCTTTCTTAAAATGCTGCATCAATTACTATAATATTCTTTGGGACAGCTTCTCTTTTGCAATCACAAAGACACTCATTTATACAGTTGAATTTTTTTTGAGCTTTTCAAGTTTAAATAGTATCTATTAACAAATGTAAAACATAGCAGCAGAGCTTAAAAGGTTCTGATACTATTTGAAATTAAAGGCAGTCCTTTATTTTACATACCTATTGTGTGGTTTAATACTGATGTGGAAGTTGTTTTAAAACCACAGATCAAGCATGTGAACATAAAATAGCTCTATGTAAGGACAATATGGCTGTGTTAATGTCTTAACAAGGTTTCTGTAGCCTCCAAGAGAATACTCCGGCAAACTTCACAGAAGTACACTGGCTCAGAGCTATGTGCTAACTCCACACAAAGGGCACATTTTTAAAACCAAAGTGTTTAATTTAAAACCTTCAAAATATATTTTAAAAAAGGGTGAGGGCAAATATACTACCCCCACTGACTAATTCTGCCTTTTCTCTGGAACACACTGAAATGCTGGATATTACAGTTCAGAATTTGATATTTAGAAGTGAGAGTTTCAGCACTATGCTCTAACAGATTTGAACAAAAGTGAATGATTGAGGAAAATGCCATTGATATTTGTACAGTTGTTTGACCTTGACCATTTAAAAAAAAAAATTATGGAGTCTACATACGTTTGTAGTACAATATTAATATGAAGTCAAGCCTGCATTAGAACACCAATAGTGATTTGTTTAATGTTGTTTTGCTTGTGAATATCAGTTATTGAGTATTTTCAATTTTAAGATGTTGCATAAAATCTGTAGAATGCAGAATTCCCTCTGAGCCCTTATGCCTGTGGTAGAGCAATAAAAGATTGAAACATGATTGGTATTTTCAGATTTATTTTATTTTTAATGAGGATTATTGCCAAGAAACAAGAGTGCACTATTTGGAGGTAATGCTATTTAAAATATGTATAAATAAGCATTAATAGTGTATATATTTAGAAAACAAATCTTTTTAAACAGTAAGTGCTTTACATGTTGACTTTAAAAATAAATTAGCGTAAAACATTGTAACATCTTCACAGCTATGGCTGTTATCCAGAACATTTTGGTTTGTTTTATTTGTGATTCCTGTACTAATTACATTTGGTTTTTATCTGTAATGTAACAATAGTGTATTATAACAGTATATAGTGTACTATACTACACTTCACTGTACAGTATTTGGAATTTTCTTTGATTGCTATAATTAAAACTATAAGTTAAAATGTCGTCTGCTACTTTTTAAAGTACAACTTTTTGCCAAGCCTTTCACACCTCAGATTTTGTTACTTTTTAAAAAATTAAAATTGCCTTAAAAAAAAAAAAGTTGGGGGAGGGACTCGATGCCATTAACTAATGGACACTTAAATCAGGGCTACTCAACTTTGGAAGCCCCGGGGGCCACCATGATACTCACATCACATGCCACAACTTAAGCGCGGTTGCATATATATGCAAATAGCTTCTTTCACATCGATGGGCATGAATAGAAAGCACTTCCCACAATGCCCCAGTGCTCCTGGCACCCCCTCCCTGTACTGGTCTGTTCCAGCCAGCCCATCTGCATGTGTCTTTCAATGCTCACCCCACCTGGGAGACACCTTGCCATAGTGGAGCATGATCCCAGTGAAGGCCATGTTTAAAGGACCCCACCTACAGGCCATGTGTTGAGCCCTGCAAAAACACAAACTGCACCGCGGGCTGCAAACATACAGGCCACGTGTTAGTAGCCCTGATTTAAATCACATGCTACTTGCACCCAGTAGTAGTTATACATAAAGGGAAATAAACTTCTCTTGTTGTCCTGTATTAGTTTTAGTGACACTTCTGATTTAAGGAAATGTTTCTCTTTAGAGTGAAAGTGGGACTTTTCAACCTCTTACTTGTTTTGAATACTTGAGTAACTATTTAACACAGCTACATTTATGAAGCTATCAAAGGCTCTTTAAAGATAGAATTTAATGTGCACTAAAACTGAACTCTGAAGAATTAATTATTTGAACATTAGAAGATGTCACTTGGAGAGGAAAGTAATGAAATAAACACAAGACCAAGATAGATATTCAAAGTAAACATGCAACCTGGGATATGAAGTGTAGTGAACTTAAAATTTAAAACAAAATTTACAAAGACTGTGTTTCTATAGGTAAATATTAAATAATAGCAATGGATTATTCTAGGTCCCTCCCAACCTTTAGAAATCCTACCAATACTTGAATAATACTGTTACATCTCTAATGCTTAAAATAACTCTCCTAGTTCTACTTGCTGTAAGTCAAATTTTCCTCTGAAGACTGTTGGCAAAAATGGCATTATAAGGTTCCATTTGTGTCTGAATTGGAGCTGGTGCACATATCTGAGGTTTTTTATGTTGAGTAAAACATTTTGATTGACCAACATTTTTAATGCTTTTTAATGCAAAAGGAAAGGAAGGGCTATATTTACAAAGCTGTCAGAGGAGGTATTTATGCTGGTGACAAAATAGTTACAGAGCTAATGATTCAGGGGTTTCACAAGTTTTCATCATCTTGGGCAAACTCAAGAGGTTGAAACTTCCCATTCTTGGTCTCTGGCCGAAGATGTATTATTTTGGAAACGGAAAAATCTCTTCAGTCATTTTCAAATTTTACGAGAGTGGAAAAAACAGCCATACAGTTAGCTCAAAGAACTCTGAAGAATGGCATGTAAAGTCCTTTCTGAGTAGGTTCAGAATCAAATTTGAAGGGAAATTAATTGCATTTTAAAACTACGAACAACTAAAAACTGTCCTTTTATAGAGTTGTATTTCACAAGTGTGAACAAACTACAGACAATGTATGTTAGTGGTTTAAGCAGCTAAGGCTAAGTTGATAATACTTTTGAGTTGGTATCAGACCCGAGGTTGTGTGTGTCTGCAAACTGCCTGTCTGTTCTGGAAAGGGAGGGACGGCACTATCCCCTATAAATAAGCCTGTAACATCAAGTATGATTCTTTTCAGGAAAATAAAACATTTTTCTGTTTGATGGAATAGTAACTAGCAAACACCTTGTTTTAAGAAAAAGTTTCTGTGGAAGTAAATCATTTGAAGCTTCACACATTAAGACTGATCTGTAGTACAAGAGGGAAACTAAGGCATGCCACCTTTAACTTAATAATTGAACAATGAAGTAATTCACTTAAACC